GCCAAACGTCTGCTCTCCCGCGGCCTCACCGCCTGGACGCCGTAGTCTCCCCCATTTTGTGGGCCCAGCGGGCGGTGTTTTTCCCCCTTTAATCCGAATTCACGGGTTTTCCCTTCGCTTTAATGGCGGCCACAGGGACCAGCTCGCCCTCTCTGTTCGCCCATTGGCCGTCTTAAGGTCACGTGGGCCCGGGCTCCGTGGGGAGGGGGGGAGAGAAGGGAGTGAGGGAGGGCCGGGAAGCTTTCGGCCGAGGCGGTGAGCCCCGGGGACCGGGCAGCCAGCTGGTGCTACTGAGATAGCGCCATCTGCTGGGTGCCCCAGCCAGTGTAAAATGACCCAGGCCTTGGCCCTTTCTCCTGGCGGGGAATGTACCTACAGGAGGGTTCACTCCAAAATCTGTGAAGATTCCATGAAATCAGTTTGAATTCTTTGAAAAAAAAAAGTTGGCAATAATTCCGAGATATTTTCATTTATTTCATGAGGCGTGCAGCGCAAACCCCAGGACTTGAGAGTTGGGGATCTGGATAAAAGTTGTTATATGGAGAAAGAAACAAGGAAACAATATAGCTTTGGAGTAATATAGCTTTGGAAATTGGGGCCAAATTGACTGGGCTTGAGCCAATCACTTACCTCTCTGTGACTCAGTTTCCTCAATTGTAAAAATGGGAAAAACATACTTCACTTCATAGGTTCCTTGTGATAGTATGAATTAAGCACACAGCTGATGCCTGGCACCGTTAAGCATTGAAAAAAGTTATCTACCATTGTTGTCCTCATTCCCTCCTGTAGTTACTGTGAACAGCAAGTGAACTCCTGTATGGAAAGTTGCCACATGAGAACCGGGACTTTGTTTTGTTTACCTCTGTCTTTCTAGTATCTTAAAAGTTTGCTAGCACACAGTGGGTGCTAGATACTTGTAAATTTACAAATGAATGAGTGATAAGAAGTAAGTTCTCTTTTCCATAAAACATTTCCTTCTTGGTTGGATTTCACTTCAATGTAAGAATTCAAAATATTTTCCTTCAGAGTTTCAGAGTAATATAAGAAGGAAGGAGAAAAAGATCTTCAAAAGATAGAAACATCAGGAGGTAAAATAATTTTAAATGATAATTATCTCTGTAGAATAGAAGGACTCATGCATACCACTTAGATACAGAATGAAAAGGAATCTTCATCCATCCATTTGTTCATCTCTGCTGGTTAAGAGCTTGAAGCCAAAACCCTGTTAGAAAAGTTCTGCCACTTTCTAATTGACCTTAGATCAAATGTAACCTCACATCAAATCAATTTGTCTTACTTTCAGTTATTAGAAATTGGAATCATAAGTCATAGTTAACTTTCATATAATCTTKCGGGGAGTGCCGGGGATTTGAACCCAGGGGCACTTTAACCACTGATCCACATCCCCAGTCCTTTTTATTGTTTCATTTTGAGAGAGGATCTCCCTAAATTGCTTAGGTCCTCACTATGTTGCTGAAGCTGGCTTTGAACTTGCAGTCCTCCTGCCTCAGCCTCCCCAGCCTCTGGGATTACAGGTATGTGCCACTGTGTCCAGTGATTCATATAATTATTAAAGTCATTTTTGAGCACCTGCTGGCTCAATTAAGTGTTTCTGGTCTGTACTAGGCCTGGGATACAAATATTATTAAGATACATGCCTATTCCACAAAATTTCTGAAGAAACAATAAAGGGAATATTTCCTACAGAGTAAGATAAAACACAATAGGAGTAACTGCTTGAATAAAATATGTATCAAAATATATCAACAATAGGAGCASTAGAGAAGGAGCATCAAAGTTGAAAAGGCGTCATAAAGTAGGTAGCATTTGAAATCAGATTTGAAGGATAAAATGAATTCTTATAAAGCCCTTTGAAGCAGTTAAATCTTGTTAAACCCAATTCAGATCCAAAGGCCACATATCAAAGTCAATTATACAACCAGGACTAATTCAATCCAGGAGCTCAAATCAACTAAGGTCGGCATCCTTTATAACTGAGTGCCAGCACCAGGAGACAGGGATCCCCAGACCTAATAAGAGCTCCTCTGCTCATTTCTCTTTCTCRGAGAAAACCCTTGGGGCTTTGTTCTGCTGCTTTCCTCAGCCTGAAATATTCTCATATCCTCCCCCAACTCTTGATCTGCAGTAGACCCATCGGTTTAGTTTTGTCCCCCATTGTCCCCACCACCTAACTTGAGCACCTTCCTCAGGACTCCAGGGGCAGGTAGAATTTGCCTGAAACCTACTAGCGGAAAGTAAATTTTGGCCTTTCATTTGAATGTTAATATTCTCAAAAGAGGGGGAAAACAGAAGACAAGAAGACTCTGAGAATTCTAAGGAAGGGGGGGTGTGGGAGGGGGGCAGAAGAAAAGTTGAGAGAAGGAATGAAGAAGCAAAGTGGAGGACAAAGACCCCAAGAGTAAGAGAAATGGAAACCTCATGGGGAGGAGAGGAAGAGAGCAATATCAGCCCATGGAGAGCCTGTCAGGAACCACTTAGACCTATTAAAATGATATCCTGTGTGATTTAAAGAGTAACAGAAACGGGAACTTTGGACAAAAGAGAGTGATGGGGCAATGTAGGGTCATCAATTGTAAAAAACTATATAACACCCTGGCAGGGGGTGCTGATGACTGGAGAGGGTATGCGTGTATGGAAACAGGGTATGGGATTTAAAAGAGAGAGAGAGTGTGTGTAAATAAGTACAAAGAGCACACACACATTTTCAGAGATTTGGAAGATAGAGAAAAGTATAAAGGTGGAAATTTTAAGTGTACATTACCCCCCCCAAGAAAAATTGCCCATAAAAGCATAATAATTAACTACCTTTTAACATTTTGATGTATTTCCTTCCAGATTTTCCCATATATTTTTTTCCTACATGGTTGAGTTCATACTATATACAGAGTTTACACTCATTTATTGACCACTTAGTGTGTGTCTGGTCATGTATAGACAAGATAGAGGATATACAAGGAGCTTAAAATGCTATGTAAGGGGCTGGGGACTTAGTTTRGTGAATCCAGTGCTTACCTAGCATGCATGAGGTCCTGGGTCCAATCCTCTGGTACCGGTTTAAAAAAAAAAATCTTACTAGATACAATGCACTGGGACAAACTGGACTAATTAGGGCCAAAGCTTTAACCAGGCTACCTCCCTAACTTTGATTTACCCATTTGTATTTGGGTGCATAAGAGTAGCACTAGAGCTGGGCAGAGTAGCACATGCCTGGGCACTTGGGAGGTTGAGGAAGGAGGATTGCAAGTTGCAGGTCAGCCTCAGCAACTTAGAGAGATCCTGCCTACAAAATAAAAAATAAAAAGGGCTGGAGATATATCTCAGTGGTAAAGCACCCCTAGGTTCAATCCCCAGTACAGAAAATAAAGAGAAGGAGGAGAAGGGAAGGGAAAGAAAAGCACTAARTGTCAGAATTGATGAAATGATTAAAAGAGAGATGCTAGGGGCTGGAGTTGTGTCTCAGTGGTAGAGCACTTGCCTGGCATGTGTGAGGCCCTGGGTTTGATCCTCAGCATCACATACGAATAAATAAAATAAAAGGTCCATTTACATCTAAAAGAGAGAGAGAGAGAGAGAGAGAGAGAGAGAGAGGGGGGGAGGGAGGGAGGGAGGGAGGGGCCAAATAAAATAGGAGAGTCACAAGGTTTTACCCTAGTACCACCAAGAAATTACAATAATAATAGGAGAACCAGTGAAAAAATTTAGAGGAAGCCTTGGGTCATCTATTATTTTCTACTCTGAAATGTGGACCTACTCAGTGATCTATGTTTAAAATTTCTTAACTTCTTTATCCTTTTAAAGGCTCCATTCCGAATGGGATGGTGGAAGCACTGGCTTACAAACTACTATTGGCCTCCTTCTTGGACACAGTTATATCACTAGAGACAGAGAAGTCCAGGAAAGTCCCTGCCTCATCTCAGGGCTAACGCCCCAACCTGATTTTGAAAAACTACAAGGTCTAGAGCAGAACAGTCCAATAGAAATGTAATGAGAACTAAATACATACTACGATTTGATTTTCTGCAGTAGCCACATTAAAAAAGTAAATGAAAAGTTATATTTATATTAATTATGTATTTCATTATCCTGATATATTGGAGATTGTACCATTTCACATACAGTCAATATAAAAATTTTAGTGAGATACTTTGTCATCCTTTCTTAAATATTTTTTTTGTTTTGTTTTTTAGGTGGACACAATATCTTTATTTTATTTTTATGTGGTGCTGAGGATCGAACCAGTGCCTCATGGGTGCTAGGCGAGTGCTCTACCACTTGGGCCACAACCACAGCCCTTGCCATCATTTATTTATTTATTTATTTATTTATTTATTTATTTATTTATTTACCTACCTAACCAAACC